TTTCATCGAAAATAAATTAAGTGAAATTCTGTGTGATTTCATGAGAGTTGAAATGAAAAAATTATATGACGCCCAACCCTACCACTCCATACACAATGTAACCACACCTCAAAGGCATCCTTTCACCAGTGTATTCTATTTGAATTCAGGAGAAATTTAAATGAACAAATTATATGACAACGAACTTAATTATAATGTCAACCTCTAGTTCAGCACTGATTAAATAAACTACCTCGTCTTTATGCCAACTTGAATTGAAGTTATTCAATGCCTACACCAGTGACTTCAAAATCTATGTTTCAATTCCAGGAATTTCACTTGCTATTAATTGTATGGGAGTGCCAGTCTTTTATTTTCTATTGTAATGTCAATTTCTTGTGATTACTCGGAAAATGAAGCTGTAACCACAGACCACAGTGCTGCAACTAAATCCTGGTATAAGCACCGGTTAGACAGTCATGAACTATGCATGTGAAGCCAGCTGAGAGGTATATCCAATCCTATAGATTTCTCATTGTTTGGTAACTATTTGCTGCAAATGCAACAAAAATCAATATTAAAATATTACCCACACAGCATTCTACAGGTTACTTGTTTGGAGTAGTGATTGTTCTGGTGATCGCTGAAACGTACTAATTCAATATAGACGTAAAGAAGGAAAGGTCAGTGGCGATAATAGAACTCTACAACGCCTTCATTGATTAAGAACTTCATTCATGATAGCAGAACACCGCCAATTTGAATTTTCTTCCACAACAGGCATTGTCTCAGTTCCCATCTGTTTTTTGAGCTCCAACGAAAACACAAAATTAATAAGTCTCCCAAATATTGGATTTGCGTGAGATGATCAAATTTATACTGGCATAAGATGTTTCTCCACCCGTCACAAAATTGGTTTTCTGTGTGTTATCACTCAAATCATATTTTTGAAATGACGTAATTGTTTTCGATTTTCAGTATAATATTATTCTGAAATATACAATGTGAAGGGATTTACATAACGCTGTCAATGCACATTATTTTTGTTAAATCAAATACCAATCATTCCTAAACTCTATGGTCGGGTATCACATCCTGGATGATTACACATCCGGGAATTTTAAATTCGTATACTTGCCGCGGGTGTGCACTCTTAGTATGGCCGTACATTGCGTCCGATACAGTGCGTGTTTTCACTGAATAGTCAATGAGTGTGGTACATTATCGCACAATGAAATGATTAAAATTGCTTTTAACAATCTTCAAATGTATCCCTTGCCATATACACTCGATAGATGCTCACATAGCGTAACAGTAGATAAATTAAAAATACTGTAGAATACTTTATTTTCGCTTGGAATTAATTTTCACTATTTTCGCTTAAGGAATGATTCAGTGAAAATAAAATTCAGCGAATATACCTTTTTTACCAATATTTTACATTAAACTTGTCAAAAATCATTGAAAATAAATTCCATACAAATCATCCAAAAAGTCTTTTCAGTGAAAATTAATTCCAACTAAAATAAAGTATTCTACAGTAGAACATAACAATGAGACCATGTTCCGCTCGTGAAGCAAATCACACGTGGACCATGTAACTATTATTTTTAGTTCCATGTGTGGACGGACAAAATGTACTGATACTAACCACACCTTTAACCCCAACTTCATTCCTTCGCCGTGACTTTTCTGGGATTTGTTATTAATCACAAGATAGTTTATTGCCTTTCAGTAATTTACGACATCTTTTACTAAACTGTTTTTAACTCATCTCTGTGGACTGTGCTTATTCGTTTGTCGCTAATTTAGTTTGTTGTTCATTGAATGAACGTTCTTACAAACCGTTCAAGCGTATGTATGTTAGAGTCAAATGTGTTTCTGTTTATATATATCTGTTTTTTCAAAATCCACCACCCAGCCAGGAATTTTCCATATTTTTTGTATCTCTTTACACGTCCTGTCACATACCAAACAATTAGGATTGTTTCCTTCCTTCGTAATTAATCATTGTTTTACGAGAACACACATACACCATGTTGTTATATTGATTTTCAATTAATTCCTTGTACAAGTATGTGTTCTCCCATCTGAGACTGTATTTGTTTTGCTCGTTATTTAATTCATCCATCATGTTACTCTGTTTTCCATTAGACTGGGTCTCAAATTAACATGTCATATGCATCTATCACGGTTTCCAATGGATCGCCAGCAGTGCAAGATAGAAGTGGAAACGTGTAAGTATAATGTATGTGCTATGAGTGAGTGCGGATGTACTAGTATGTGGCGGCCATATTGGATATCAGATCTTTATAAACACCTGTTTGAACATAGTCAATCCACAGAAAATAACAATGATAGGACGGGTGTACAC